ATTTTTCCGAATTTGTTTTCTAGTTTAGCTCAGCATCCGCTGGACCAATCAAAAAGTGCGCCATACATTTTTTGTTCGCTACTTTTTGCTAAAGAATTTGGCGGTATTCCCGAACGATTATCTCGCGAATTTAATTTTTCGAAAATTTTTCGGAAAAAGATTTGAGTGTAGCTCAGCATCCGCTGGACCAATCAAAAAGTGCGCCATACATTTTTTGTTCGAAACTTTTTCCCTATTTTTTTGGTGGTATTCCGAAGCGCTTATCTCGCGAATTTAATTTTTCGAAATTTTTCCGAATTTGTTTTCTAGTTTAGCTCAGCACCCGCTGGACCAATCAAAAAGTGCGCCACATATTTTTTGTTCAGAACTTTCTTCTAACTACTTTGGCGGTATTTCCGAACGATTATCTCGCGAATTTAATTTTTCGAAAATTTTTCGGAAAAAGATTTGAGTGTAGCTCAGCATCCGCTGGACCAATCAAAAAGTGCGCCATACATTTTTTGTTCGAAACTTTTTCCCTATTTTTTTGGTGGTATTCCGAAGCGCTTATCTCGCGAATTTAATTTTTCGAAATTTTTCCGATTTTGTTTTCTAGTTTAGCTCAGCATCCGCTGGACCAATCAAAAAGTGCGCCATATATTTTTTGTTCAGAACTTTCTTCTAACTACTTTGGCGGTATTTCCGAACGATTATCTCGCGAATTTAATTTTTCGTAAATTTTTCGGAAAAAGATTTGAGTGTAGCTCAGCATCCGCTGGACCAATCAAAAAGTGCGCCATACATTTTTTGTTCGAAACTTTTTCCCTATTTTTTTGGTAGTATTCCGAAGCGCTTATCTCGCGAATTTAATTTTTCGAAATTTTTCCGATTTTGTTTTCTAGTTTAGCTCAGCATCCGCTGGACCAATCAAAAAGTGCGCCATATATTTTTTGTTCAGAACTTTCTTCTAACTACTTTGGCGGTATTTCCGAACGATTATCTCGCGAATTTAATTTTTCGAAAATTTTTCGGAAAAAGATTTGAGTGTAGCTCAGCATCCGCTGGACCAATCAAAATGTGCCTCATACTTTTTTTTGTATACAACTCCCTGTTTTAATCTTTAGCGGTGTTTTTGAACGATTATCCCTTAAATTGAATATGTTGAAAATTTTTCCAAGAAATCCCTACTCTAATTAATTAAAGTTTTATTTATATTGAATAAGTTTAATTGAAACTTAAAAATAAGTATTAATTTGAACAAAATAAATCCTTCCGTTTATATAGACTAAAAGCACAAAACATTCTTTTGGCGCAGAATCAGTTGTTGACCAACCAAAGAATTTCTGCCAAAGTTAATGCGGTACGTGTTTAAAGTTAAACTTTAAACATACCTTTGAAGTTTTCTGCAGGAGTTAAGCGTCTTCTTATCTCTTCTCTTTTGGTTTATGTTTTTTATCATATGGTTTCTTTCACCCGTTGCTTAAATACTCACAAAAAAGAAAGAGAATCAAGTTATTTGACTAAATATTTACTTGTGTTGGTTTGTTTTCACTTTTATTTGAGACAAGTTTTCTCAGGATATTTTTTTCGAGAATTCGTTAAGGGATATACCTGTTCCTTAAACATTTTTATTTATACAAAGAGTTATGGGTTTTTATTTTAAAAGTCAATATTCGTGCATTTTCTAAAATAATCTTCAATAACTAATTAGTGATTGATAAATTAAAATTAGTTTACAATATTTTTCATCATATTTTTTATCGTCCCTTTTTTATGTATATATACATAATGCGTTAGTTTCAAACAGAGAAAATCATGAAGAACAGTGCCGACGATTTTTCGTGTAATAAGTAATCAGTATCGATTTTGTTCAGCTCATCGAGTTCACGATCGAAAGACCTACGGGAGTCAATTCTTTAAGTGCGTGGGAAATTCAACATCCTTCCTATCACATTATATATATCTACCCCAATCTCACTCTTAGCTACCAAGACCTTCATTATTTCTATTCTAGGTCATTATATTTACCAAGGGTATAAATTATTTATATTATCTCGCTTCGTTCCCTATTTCTTTCACCTGCGCAAAATTACTTTTATTCACTAATGAAATGTATTGATTCATTTTTTATTCACTAATTAGTCGATCATATTATTCAAAATAATATCAACTATTAAAAAAATTTCGATTAAAAATAGTGTTTAATTTAAAAATGAAATTAAGAAATCCCCCCTGGGGTGAAAGATTATTACCTTGATGAGAGAGGGTCACTAGAGGTGAGTGTTCTGAGGCCAAGCCATTGAAGCACGAAACAATGCTGAACATATATACCCCGCACGTTAGCGCGGGGTCTCTGGACCCAAAAGGGCCTTGGCTCGGTCAGCAAGGCCCAAGAGAGTCACCAGAAATAAACTAGAACGACCAAGCACGGAACGAAACGCTACAAAAAGAGAATTGGATCCGGTGCAGCTTGCAAGTGCAAGTACTGAAGCTCTCTTTCTTTCTCTCTCTCTCTCTCTCAGGGTTAAGCGAATACGAACGCGCGTGACTTCGAACCAGAACGCCAAGCCGCATCGTTCGATTCGAGATTAAACTGTAATTAAATACGGTCAGAGACAAGAAAAAACCCTCAAGAAGGGAGCGGCATACAGAGAGAATGAGAGAAAAGGAGGGAACAAGTCGAAATCCACGGGTAAAAAAAAAAAAATAAATAAATTCCCTCCCCACATTCTTTATATCTCATTTCTAAAACTTTTTTATTTCTTACTCACATAAATTTCGACAATAACAATAAATTTAATATTATCAATAACAATAATGACAATAGTTGAACAAAAAAAAAAATATATATTTAAAAAAAAAAAATCAGCAAGTATAGTGACAATTCACCACATATGACAAAAAGTGTGTGCTCAATGTCAAAATGATTGGATCATTAAACAATAATGTCATTAAAACTTTTATGATCTTTTGAGTGAGTTTTTTTTATGATTATATGAAGATAATTGGTTATTAACCGAATGTGAAGTGTGCTTACAGTCATAATTCTCAATTAGAAATCAGAAAATTTAATTTGTTGATAAAAGACAATGTTAGTGTGAAAATTTGCTAGTTTTGTAGGTTATGTAACTAATGCGATAGTTGGTAACGTAATGCGCAAGTGCAAATAGTTTGTTTGTCGCAGTTCGTTCATTATTCTCAATAGTCTGAAGAATTTCAGATAAAATGCGGCAAATATTTAAATTTTTTCTACTTATCTCGGGGATAAGTGCAATCTTTCGCTTTTATTAATTTTATTGTCCCGATAGTTGATAAAAATTATTTTTCACATCAAATGTCATTCCACTTTGCTTTTACATATTTCGAGTCGTGACTTGATTTTGCGTCATTAATTTGGCAAATCCATTAGAGTTTGGAGCGTGTATGTAAAGTAACGAGTTTAATGTACATAACTTTCCAGAAACCCCTTTTTCCTCTCTGCTTCTCACTCCCTCTTGTGTATATATATATGGTCTCTTGGGGTCTTCGACTTTAGACGGTCGACACGAGCCCTAAACAGGTCGATGATTGGTCGCGGGTAACAGGAGTGCCCTCTGATAATGCACTCGCTTTCGGGCTCGCCTTACTTGCATGATTGCAAAAACAAGCGTCACGAAAAACTGCAGAGATAACACACAAAGAGAGAAAAAGTGAGTTACACACTTGTGTGCAAGAGAGAAAGAGAAGAGTGGTCCGAGGACCGAACGATCGGGGTCTGCAAGAACCGGAATTTTATGCAATGGCGTAACACGCTAAATATCGTGGAAATTTTATACTTACCAAAAAAATTACCCCCATTGTGTTGTGAAGAAAAAAAAATTGTTTTCGAAAAATTTAATTTCAAAAATTAATAAATATTTTGTTTTTTTTTTTGAAAAATTATACAAAACTTGAGAATTTTCTCTCTTTGACAATCAACACTGATCTAATCGTCGCGTCGGTGACTTAAATCGACTTCTAACTAGACATTACGTTTTATTGGCAGATAAAAATAGTGAAAGATTTCATCTGAAGATATCTTTAATCAAGGTTACCGAACGTCCTTCGAGGCATTTATGGCGCACTCTATCTCTAGCATTATCTCTCTAAGATCCAAGTCTTTAGATGGCCAAGAGGAGAGCGTTATCGATAAAAGAGGAGAGCCATTAGTCAAGAAAGGAGGCTCTCGTGGTATTATAGGGTCCACGTATATATATATATATATGATGGCGACTCGCTGCGGCAATGGCCAGAACTTGTGATGACCTTGGCAAGGTTACCGCATCTTAACTATACATTTATATATATATAGAGAGAGAGAGACCCTTCCACCTTGCCTGCCCTTATTATTATTATAAAGCATTCGTTCTGATTCCACGAGGCCGCGGGTGCCATTCATTCCACTGAAGATCACTCTTCTTAAGATTCCCTCCCTCCCCCCATGACCAATTTTTTTGCACCTGCCTTGTTACGCGGAGTTTTTTTTTCCCTTTTTTTTTTTTGATACACTGAAATCAAAACTCGTGGTTGGGGCTCTATTATCTGATTCGAGAAACGAGGACACTCTGATTCTTCATTTTTTTGTCAGAATTGCGGTGTCTTTGAAACTGGATTTTCCTTATTTGGTAAATTACAAGTTTGTCGCTTCTTCCCGGAATTTAATCTTTTGATTTATTTAACCCATTATTAGTTTTAAGATGACTTGATGTAATTATTGTTTTAATAATTTTATCCGCACGGAGAGAAGGGCGATCTTACTAACATGTCAGTTCAATCTACTAAACAGAATCTTTCACAACCAGCTTAATTGTGGACAAACCAATCAGATTTGTGCATTTTTTTCTCTGTCGGTAAATTTCTTTTTGTGGCAGAACTATATAGTAGACTGTTTAGTAGAATCTGCAATAAATGCGTACAAAACGTGTTTAGTACTGCAGCTCTTCTCTCCCTTTTGCTAAAATATTTTTTTTTATTAAATTTGCTTTGTATTTTTTGTGTTTCAGGACAAAAACAGTTGAAAATAGTGAACCAAATGAGGGTAACACTAGTAGTAGTGGAGGCGTAGGAGGTTTTGGAAAATGGTTACGAGATCATTTAAGTGGTGGTTTGAAAGGAAGTCATGATATTAATACAAGTAATTCATCAAAATCAAATGGAACAGTGAAAATTCCGGGCAATGAAAAGAATGTTGCGAAACAAACATATACTTCGCAAAATTTATATTGTAGCCTGCCTAGGGAACATGGTAGACACTATCATAATGGCACTCGCAAGTCGGTCAACGTTTCTCCGAAGTCACAGGTCTACGATCGACCACGTACAAACACTGCAAGTCTTCTTCACGAGAAGTCATTCTCCAGTGACCTTGGCAATCTTATGAGGGGAGGACCCGTCTACGGAAGCGAGGGAAAAAGTGTTAGAAAGCGCAACAAGGATCGTCGAAGGCACTCCATGAACGATGCTGAACAGAGTCGTCAACGTCGCAAAAGGTGAGTCAAAAAAACAACAATTTCAAATCTTTATTATTTGCATATATATTTCGAAATCACAAATTGAATTCTGATGTGTGGATTTATAAAGTAGTTGGATAATTTTAAAATTCTTTTCGATAATTCCGAATGATAAATATAATATACCAAAGACGTTGGAAATAAAGAGACTAAAGAGAATAAGATGTAACAAAAGCAATACCGTTAGTACTGCCATTATAATGCAGAAAACATAGAAAGCCTTTTTGTCCTTCACATCCTCTCTGGATCCCGGAAAAGAATTGTTTTAAACATATACGCAAAGTTTCTTCCTCCGGTTGATCCTGGAACTTCTCTTTGGCGAACAGGAGACTTGTACCGGAAGAGTTTCATTGAAATAAAAGAGTCCCTTAGAATCCCGCGAGATATTCCAGGAACGTACTTCAATGACAATGCGATCGTGTAAATAAATCTGTAATATCGACGTCTCTCTTTCCTGGTTCGCGAGAACGCCCCTGGGGGCGAGACTTGTCCTCGCTAGGATGATTTAACGCAGCAACGATTCAACGAGGCCCCATATAGCGAATGATGATCGTACTCGTCTCTGATCTTAGGGCCTTACGTCGCTTGTTAAGTGTCCATGTCTGGTATGTATATATATATATATACTCGGTGTGTATAGAATATATGGCAAGTCTTGTTGATTCCTTACGCGGACTTCATAGAGAGACTGTTAGAAGGAACCATCTTTCGCATCGGCGTATATGCATCGGAGAGAATATAAGATGTCCGCAAATGTGAAATACCGACGTGAGACTTATAGAATGAGAGAGAGAAAGAGAGTCACACATTTACTCTCGGGGTCCACGCGGGTTGTTGGGGTCTGAATTTACGGCAGGGTTTGAGATAACCTTGATACCACCGACACGAACGCACTAGTCTCGAAGAAGAAGAAGAAGCAAGAGAATATCGCCTCTGAATGTATATTTTGCAAGTTGACGCAAAAGCCGCGCGCATCTCCACCTTCTCCAAAGCATTCGGATATTGGCGAGAATTTTATCCGATGTGAGTTCCTGCTTCGAAGAAGTAAAGATTTCTCATAGCTAAAGAAATATGTGAAGGTAATGCCATCTTTTCTTGAATAAGAAAAGATCATCTTTTTGCAAACCTGTTGCCGTATATACAAGAACATGATTTTCACCATTGCTTTGCGGAAACGGTGTAAAACACTTGTTCAGATGGGATACCATGTTCACTGGATTTTTCGTCTTTGCGCTTTAATTCTTAGATGATATCCTTCTGATTCTGTCTTTTACATTCATAATTACTACTCCGAATATTATTTTAAATTTTATTTATGCGGTAGCTTTAAAGAATGAAGGGAATTTTTGCTTAATTACGAAATAATGTAAAAGTAAAAAAGGCAAAAGTCAGAGGGGATTGACCCTATGGAACGTGGGCGTTTTATACGTGCCTGACATCCGAAACAGGGGTTAGGGGTATATATATATACGAGTAATGGGAAGTGGTACCGCGCGGTTAAGGCAAGATAGCCAGATTTGGAGTAAATGTCAGCTTGTTATCCACGAATCTGTTAACATGGTCCTGTCCTCATCCCATCTTGGTAATACACTTCTTCCTGGTAAAAATGTATAGCAAACGGTTGGTATTTCTTTTTCCTGTTTTGCGATTCCCCTTCTCTCATCTCGTTGATCTTCCTTCTTTTGCGCTCATCTTCTGCTTTCTCGTCGAGCTAAATATAGCCAACGTCATGCTATAAATAGAATATAACCCCGAAGTTCAAAATGACCGGTATCCACATCAGGATCAGACTCTCTTGCGGCATCAAAAACCATCAACATTTCTTCCTTTGTTTTCATTCCCGCGCGTTTCATCGTCCATTTTACTCTTTCCCTGCGCCTACTTTATCTTTTTTATTTATTATGCCTTTTTCTTTTGGTTTTCTTCTGCGTCTCCTTCTCTTTCTTCTTCTTCGTCTTCTTTCCTCAAGCGTGCTCTTGCCCACCTCTTCCTTTTATCTTGACTCGTTTTCTCTCGCTCTTCTTTACGCCTCCGCCAAATGTATGGACATCCTCCAGTCCTATACTCGATCCCGGAGTCGACCTCACCTCCGAGGTCGACTCCCTCGATAAGGGGCCAGTGACTCTTAGGAGATGATGCCTGCAGTTGTATCCTGACGTGAACCTCAAGGTCGAGGATGGCAAAAGAAACAGAAGATCGTTCTCGAGATATGAGAAAACGGAGGAGAGGAAACAAGACGTTTCGCGAGGATTTGATTGTTGTTTTGACGTCGAAACTTAAGGGAGAAAAAATTGACGTTGGTACTCAAGGACTTTTTTTTCAAAAACCGAATCTTCGATTGAATTTATAATGCAGTTTTTTTTGTATCTTCTATTTTTGCAATTTCGATTTCATCTTTAAAAAGAACTTTCATTAATTCGATGATTGTTCATACATCATTAATATCATTGCATCATGTTATCATAGGAGAAAATTTCACAACCATCGCTAATGGATGATTTATAAAAAAAAATTTCACTTCTCCATGGATGATTTCGATATAATTAGATTGACCTATTTAATGATATATATTAACCGTTATTATATTTACAATATATACTCTCGATTAAAGTGTAACAAAAATAGTTCCAAATATATATCATAATAATTCATGTGAATTAAGAACACAATTCTCTGAGACTCCGTGTATCTAATCGTCTATTGTGCAATATACTCAATATCATATCTACCCTTTCTTCGTCGCACTCAACCACAAAGCCACTCAGAAGGAACAGACAAAATACTATAATTTACCCTAATCCGCATCATGGCAAGGAATTAATAAAAGTGACTGATGAATTGCTCTCGTGTCAGATGTCATTCTTTCATTTATATCTAAAAAAAAAAAATAGTGTGAGAAAAAAAATACATGAGACATTATTTATTTCAATTGATCGGTAAAAATTGAAAAAAATAATAAAAATTTTTAAATGTGTATAACACGTCGCGTTCTATTTGATGACTGACGATTTACCACGCTTGCATTCTCGGATGAATGTGGTTTTCTTATATGACTGTATGTTTCGCATTTATATATATATATATATACTGACAGACGTATAAAGCCAGTTAGTCCAGTTTCCATCGGAATCGTATATAATTGACGCCTTCGAGTTGAAGATATTTCCAGTTGATCTTGCTTTCGTAATTTCTTGGGAATGAAAACTAAAAGCAAATGAAAAAAAATTTTTTTTAAAAAAACAATAACTGTAAATTAATTTTTTTTTAAATTTCTGATATTTTTTTTTTTTTAATTCAATTAATCTCACTATATAACAGTAATTAAATTATATTGGTGGGCTTATATAAATAAATTAAGTTGTATGTAATGAGCTTTATGGGGGAACTGAAAAATGTTTTGCAGTTTAATTACAAGAGATATTAAGAGATATTACAGCACCTTATCAATTTGTTGTAATCATTGAAAACAAGTTCAGATCTCATTTAAATGATACTCGCACGCTCTGGCCTACCAAACCAACCCGTTAGAGAGTAGGGTATGTGTGTGTGTGTGTTATTTATTAGACGACATTAAGAAAATCTTTCGCTTAATCATGCCGCGGGAATATATAGGTCACTTTTACAGTATCAATTAAGAAATATAATTTTTTCTTTGTACTCATCTTGAATTCGTCTTGATTATATTTTCGAAAGAATAATAGAATAACGTTACATTTTTATTGCATAAAAATAAATATAAATGTCTTTCGATTAAATATTTCGTTTTGTCCATATGTATACCATTACGTATATATATATATATTCTACTTTCCAACTTGTTTTGTATTATGTCTATATAATACTTTCATCTTATTTTGTATTATGTACAATCTTGTTTTATATTATGTATACTGTACTTTCTTTTTTTTTAATATTATTATGTATCATTCTGCTTTCTTTCGATATGAACTATTAGATTAGATTAATTATCTATTAGACTCTAGTAAAAAAAAAAAAAAAAAAACAATTTTTCATTGGTGATTTTTTCTCGATTCAGTCAACATTTTTTATGTTTGACACCCTATGCGATATGTTTGCCATCTATCATTGTCAAGATTTGATGATCATTGACAGCTTGACAGTTTATTTTGATATCACGGTCGATTGAACTTCAAGTTCAAAGTCAGATGATTTTACTTGTTGCTTATATATACACAATATATTCAAGAGGGCATTGAACTTTTCGATACATTCCTTTTCTCTTTCTACCCATTCCTATATGTAACTCTCGGTTCGTGTATAATCGAATTGGAACTCCATTGTCATCGTGTTCGATAAAAAAAGAAAAGGAAAAAAAAGTATCAATCTCGTTTTCTTAATAATTCAATTTATATTGTTAAAAAAAAGGAACCATAAACATCTATTTAATTATTTTAAATTAAAAATAAAATTGAATTTGTTTTTTAATTATTGAAATAAAAGAAATTAGTGATTTTTTTTTTGTGAATACTTTTACGATGTTGATTTTTAAAGATTTTGTGAGGTGAAAAAAAACAGATATTAAGGATGACAATGTAGAAAAAAAAAGGGTAGATTCAATATTGACGGATGAACTTGACATGGGCGGTAAAGATCTAAATGTGCGAGATCACCGTTCACCCCTGAGATGAAAAAGGAGAAAGTGCAGGCAGTATGTGAAGGAGGGTTGTATATATGTGTTTCTATGTGCGCGAGATATAACCAGGGATCCTTGAACCTATAGGAATGCAGTGCTGGCAACCCACGCGGCTTTAAGTACCTTTTCACCCGATCTAATCTTCATAGGGCCACGTATGTACCACCACACTGCATAATATGAAAACTATTAAATTGTCCACTTTTTTTTTTTCTTCTTCTAATAACCTCTTATATATACTTATCGCACAATATCCTTTTTCATTTGCGCTAAACCTTCTTCATTTTAAAATTATTCTCGATTTTGTCGTGAAAATTGTGCAATT